TCCCATTTCTTGCCAAACCTCCCTTGTCTCCTGTACCCCTTTCCTTTCCTTAAACTCTGGATCCAGTTGTTTGTAGGCGTCTGTAAGAGGTAGTTCAGGATCTCCTGAAACAACAGGCTATTGAACCTGTTCCCCATCATTCACAGGGTTTTTAGTCCCGAATATTTGTTGTTCTCAAGAAAACCGGGGACTGGAGGCCTGTTGTTGCTTTATTCAACTTCTCCATTTTCTCCAGGTTTATGGATGACCAACATGGACATCACCAATGCTTACTTGCATATTCCAGTCTCAGCACAGTCTCATCCATATCTTCAGTTTGTCCATCATGGGGCGGTGTGCCAGTTTTGTGCCCTACCCTTCAGGCTTGCATCTGCACTTTATGTTTCCTATGAGGTGGTCAGGGTTTTTGCTCTTCATCTTCATGCCCAGGGGCTGCATGTCTATTATTATATATATCACTGGCTTATTCTGGCCCATTCCAAACTGGAGTCGGCCAGTCATACTCATTAGCTCCTTCAAGTGGCTACTCGGGTGGGCTGATTAATCAAATTGGAGACGTCCTATCCAAAACCTTCTCCATTTGGGTGTCTTTTTCAACACTCACCTCAGTCAGCCCCACCCTTCTCCTCTCTGACTTCGTTTCATGAAATTGTTACTTCACTATGCCTTGTCTGCTCCCCCACTTTCTGCATGCAAGGTTCTATTGTTTTTGGGGATGTGGTTTTCCATGGCACCACTCGTCCCCGCTAGGTCGTGCACATATGCATTTCCTACAGTGAACCTTGCTCACGTTTCATTGACTGCTTCTATTACACTTCCTCCTTCCCTAGTGAACAATCTGCTTTGGTGGTTGGACAAGACTCGTACATTGGTGAGCATCCCACTTCTTCATCCTTGTCCAGATTTACATCTGTTTACAGATGCATCATTTCAGGGATTGGGTGCATGGGTCGTTCATCAGGAGGTTTTAGGTTGTTGATCTGTCAACAAGCAGTCTTTACATACCCACGTCCTCGAGCTTCTAGCCATCTGTCGGGCTTTGGATCACTTCCTACCTTTTACCCGACATTGTCTGGTGATGACTCATTCCGACAATTCGACAGTGGTAGCATATATCAATCACCAAGGTGGCAGCTGGTCGAGATCCCCCTGTTTTGTTTTGTTGAATATCCTCTATTGGGCCCACATGCACCACATTTGTTTAATCACATGTCATGTTCTGGGTGCTTTCAATCTCGTAGTGGATTGTCTTTCCCACCCCAATAAGATTTATCTGATGAAGTGGTCCCTCGATCCTCTCGTTTTCTGATGACTTTGCTATCATTGGGGTTTTCCTCACATCAATGCATTTGCCACCTCCCTAAATCACAAATTACCCCTCTTTTGGTCCTCAGTGCCTCATCCTCAAGCTTTGGCTATTGATGCCTTCAGTCAAGATTGGTCCCACAAATTGCTGGCACTGTAACAAACCTGGGCACAAGAAAGCTCAATGCTGGAAACTTCAACACAGGGAAGATGCGATGGCAGGAAAGGCTGCTACCTAGAATGGTTGTTGGAACTGTGGAGAGCAAGGGCATATGAGGAGCCAGTGTAAGAATAATACCACTAATAAGTCAGCCTCGGGGAACCAGTAGTGGTTCGTGTTGAGGAACGTCCACCAACCCCCATTGTGAAAGAACCAACATTAGGTGTAAAATGCCAAGCACACATAGTGTCTATATGACAGGAAAGATGGATGGCCAAAGGTGCAACTTTGTCATAGATTCTGCGTCTCAGCAAACCCTTGTGAGTATCAAGATGCTCCATCATAAAGGAGTACCAGAAGCTATACAGAAGCTTTGTGGTGTGACAGGACATTATGCAAGGTTGTGGGGACCAGTATGGGTAACTATTGAACTCATGGGCTTAAAGGACAGACACAAAGTATACTTGGCTGACATTGAAGACCAATTCATACTAGGGTTGGACTACTTACTACTGAGGAAGTGTGTAATTAATTTGGATAAAAAGGAGTTTGGGAACAACAAAGGCCAAATTCCGGTAAGTGTTAAAATAGAGGTCGAACTAACCAGGTGTCATCAAGCTGAAGTCAAAGTGAAGTGGAACCAGGTATACATATTAAAGCAGAACAGGAAAAAGACCAACCCTTGAAGCCAATAATTGATTTTCTAAAAGCAAGTGTTTTGTGCCCT